TGTAGAATTTTCTCGTCTCTTTAACCCGCAAATTAAAATAGTCAGACAAGGCAACTGGTCCGGCGTCGCCCGCCACGCCCGCCAGCGCGGCATCTTACGATTGTCTTGCCACATACCACCTTATTTTGCCACTTTCTCTCTTGTTTAAAAAGTGATGAAGCGATCAAGTGTGAAACTGTTACCGCTACCGCAACTGAGGCTCCTCAGTGCTCCATAGTTATTTACCGTGGAAAAGTTGAAACTTCGTTTGCTGCGAATGCGAGGCGTGTCACGGGCGACGCCAAGCTGTTTTTCACTAATTGTGAAAGCTGGTAAGTGACCACGATTGGTGGAAAGTGGATTGGCACTGCGTCCAACCCAGTCCCTTTGACGCACCCAAGCATCTGTGTCTCATGCAGTAACCGACAAAAGAGTTTCGGTCATTGGATGACACCAGTCACAAAAACAGTACAGCTTTACAGCAAAACGAATACCAGCTTTATCTGCTCATATCACAGATGGGGTGCAATTGATCGTTAAAAGGCAGTGGAGACGACTGTTGGGGCGGATGGTTGTCGCCAACATAATTGGTGGAAAAGCTGAAACTGTAGGGGCTAAGGCCGGCTCTTCCACCAGTGAAGCAGGCAACAACCGCCCGCCTCTAGTAGTCGCTCTCACTGCAAAAAGTGCTTGATCAATGTGCTAAATTTTGTATTTAGATGGCCACTTTGATCGGCCTGCTGTGGCGTCGGTGTTGCGTACAGAGAGTGATCGTGTGCCGCATGTTCTCGTTAGTCAGGCGAGTACAGATCTACGTAGAACACGGTGAGTGATATCCGAGTTTTCAGTCCGACTGAAAGCTAAGTCTTTTGCATTCCATGCCTTGTCTGTCTGACTTGTCAATCATTCGTGACTTTTTTAAGCTCTGAAAGTCAGCTGGTGAAAGCGCTGGACTCGATATCAATCAGTTCGTCAGTATCAGGTGGCATGGAAGATGAAATCATCTCGGTCTACACTCTGAGTTCCCTTGGAAGCGAGCCAACTGGCGATCAGCTGGTTTGCTTTTCTTTTGTCAATTAAGCTACGAAGTTGGGGAGTGGAATTTGCTGTTTTCAGGTGCCAACATTGGATGATATTGTCGATCATGATGGCACCCTTACACCGAGTGTGCTCACACCACGCGCTAAAGATGACACATTGACACCGGGAATGACGATGGCAAGTGTGGAGAAAGAAGTCGCAGCTGCTGGGCTAGTGCCGCCGACCTCACTGGAAGGTCAAATGGTTCGTTGATTGCTTCTATAGGTTATTTCGGTATTCACATCATTTCAGTTGGTGCGAAAGAAACCAAGCATTAGAAATAGCGCGCGTTCCGTTTCCTTAAACGTTTCTCCGAAAAATATTCCGCCCACTCTACAGAATTGTGCTTTACTTGACGTATGGTCACATTTTTATAGGCAGAGAGTGTAAGTTCCATTGCATCATCGCTTTCATTGGCGACGGAAGACGGTGCAGATGAAGATGGTGGTCTCAATCGGAATCGGCCTTCGAGCACGAGGAAGCAGCGTCTTCATGTGAGCTTATTTCCCGACTTCAAAGTGTGACAGTAGGTCTTTTTTCGTCTTTTTCTCATTTAAGAAAGAACTCCGTTCTTTATCCCCAAGAGCGCGTTCATATTCCGCGCTACGATCGCTTGAATCGCGCGCGAGTTAGTCTTCGAGTGATCCGATCGCGTCATCCAAGCAGATGGATCGCGAAGTATGGACGCGCTGTGTGCGGAATTTTAGAGGGAAATTAGGAAATTTTGTTGAGACCTCGAAGTGCCGGCTCTGATTGGGCTCTGTACTTCCTCTGATATATACCACCGAGTTTTTTTAGGTTGCCTTACAAGCAAGTAAACGTAAAGTGTTGGACTTGATGCAGAAGCGGCGTCCTGTAACTCCGTCGAGCGCCGACAATGTCGAAATGGGGGCAGATGCTGGAGACTTGGACGGTGGTGGAACGGATCCAGACAGAGAAGTTGGTGAAACAATAATTCTTTACTTTTTGTGCGCTCCATATCTCGGAGAGGGAGAGGGCGTGGCTGCGTGCTTCATTCGAACGTATGTACCTAGCGACGGCTGCGCTTTTGGTTGAATATTGCTGCTGTGGGACAATTGTAATCGTTCTTTGTCTAGCACGAGGTAGGGTCACAGTTGTCCCAACTAAAAGTATTCCACCAAAAAAGCATCCTCCGGTACTTTGAATGAAGTACGCGGCCAAGCCCTCCCCTTCTCCGGGATATGGAGAGGTGTGAAAGCGCTTTTATCTTCTTGCTATGGAAAAAAACATGCATAATTTGGCTCAGTTCGGCTCGGTGGGTGCACCGAGTGGTACGCAGCAAGTTTACAGACCTATCTTTTGAAGACCTGAGAATTTCTGTTCTGCGATCAAAATGGTTCAGACGCGCCATTTCTCACCTGCACAGGAGTTGTTGGGTCACTTATATGACATCTGACACTAACAAGAGGAACCAACGAAAGTGCCAAATGCCCCTCCCCCACAAGCTGAAAAGCGCCACAGAGTTCTTTCACTTACTCATCACTGGAAAGAGAAATATTCAGGGTTGTTCAAGGCAGAAGTGATGAGTTATTTTCAGTCTCCATTACCATCGAATGGAAAACACAGTCCGGTTGAAATGCAAGTTGTAGATAAGAAGGAGAAGCGAAAGAAGAGTAAAAAGTAGGTTAACTTGTTTTTGTTCTGATACGTAGGCGTCAGAAGCATAGACCTATTCCAGCCGATCTCCATCAACACTTCATACGCAATCAGTCCAGGGCTTACAAGATTCTCCAACATCATCTGTGGGTTACGCTCGATCAAAAACCACTAAATCGGTTCACTTTCGTGAGGTTAGTTTGTGCTTATAATTTTATTTGCTTTTCGTCGATATTATACTTGCTTTATTAAAAAAATTAAAAAACTCTTAACAGGCATTTTCCGCGTTCATCCTGTAGGCGGGTCACTTAGATCTCTTTGCTGCTCTTATTGGCTGTCGAAAGAAGTTCTGCCCTGAATGTGACTTAGTTCGGAATCGCAGAGACTCCACAATTGCCTGTGGAGCGCAACCGGTCGCAATCGTGTGATTCCTAAAGCTGCGTTTAGACTTTGCGACGGCAGCGCTTCGACGAGTCAAAAGCATACGCATCGATTGCGTTCAATGCGCGCCCGAAGCGCTGCCGTCGCGAATTCATTCAGTTCACGTAGTTCCCAAATCGCGCGACGGAATCGCTCCAGTCACGAAGTATGAACGCAGTCCCAGTATTTCGTTCCGATCTGCTATCCCCACGTATTCCATGAACGGGTACTTATCGATTTCGTAATATGTTTTTTTAGAATGTTCTTTGGGGCCAATCGCTTCACTACGAGTTGGATGGAACCTTTTCGTCACCATCGAAAGTATCGTGTAAATATTTGAACATTACTGTCCACGCGAAGGAAGCTCCTACAACATCAGCGGCAATTCCCACAGAAGCCACACCAGGAAGTACCCAGGCTCCGTCCGTACCAGAAGTGGAACCACCGAAACCAATTCTTCTAGGATATGTGAGTATTCTCCAACTTGGAAAGTTCCACCGCTTCTGTTTTTTCTCCTTTTTTCGGTAGATGCTTTGATGGGCCTAGTTTTCAGACGTCGCTCTATGTCCCACAGATTCTTGATGATTGTCAGTTGACACTATCAAATTGCCATCGTGAGGTTTACCAGCTGAAACCACCAACAGGAATTCAGTCAATCAATGAACCGTGAGGATTTCATTATTCTGGATTCACCACCCACAACTTGCCTTTGAGCAGCGTTCATAGTTGGCGATTCGCTTGCAGTTTGGGATGTTGGGGAGTACGATGAGATACGTATTATCCGCAGAATCTGATGAGCGGTTCTACGATTAGCAATGGAGCGCGTTTTCTATCTTTTGCGGTGAGATAGATTAGAAAATCGCTCTTCCGCGCATCGTCGCAAATCGTCCAGTCGCTCGATCGACTATGAACGCTGCATTACTGGTAATGTTCTTTACTGTAATCACTTCGCGTAATATGTCTCTAGGTCAACTTCCGAATTTTCTCGTCATGCCGGCCATGATCCTCGTCTGTGCTACGGAGATGTTACAATCGGCTTCCGATTCTTCCCAGGAGGCTTACCGCAAGGTGCTGGAGCTGTGGGTATTGATGAGAGGTGCGGAATAATTCATTTCTTTTTCACAACTGATGCTTGTATTTTGCTGTGACTGCTCCTACAAAGGCGCATGGCAGACACATCACGTGATTACATATTCCACCTCTGCACAATGCTTCGTAAGGCAGCGTTCATACTTCGCGACGGCAGCGCTTCGGTCGCGCGTTCGACGCGATCGATGCGCATGCTTTCGACTGCATCGATCGCGTCGAATGCGCGACCGAAGCGCTGCCGTCGCGAAGTCTGAACGCTGCCTAATGTCGCCGAAGGCTCTCCAGCCATGCCAGAAATGCACGCCCACGGACGCGGAATTACTGTATCGCGCTGACCTTTGAGCTTATCATTGTTTGTGCTGTTAAATGTTCTTTCGCCGCATCGTCTGGTATGCGGGTCTATATTTCGTCGCCTACTGCTTCTTTATATGTCCGTCTATTGCTCAACATCAATTGCAAAAAGTAGGGCCTTATTTAGGGGCTAATCCACGGATTGTTTCTTCACGGGCAGGGCAATCAGATTTTAGTCTAGTCCGCAAGCGCAGAGAGTGTCACTTTTGCGGGTCAGAAATACTTGACAAGGGTGCCAGACTCTCGTGACGATGGCGATGTACCGCCCACCGTCTCAAGCTACGCCCGGCATCCACTTCACAAGGTTCCCTGATGATGCAGTAGTTCCGGTACTAGCTGGTATCATTGGTGAGAGTCATAATCATATTTGTACCTATCTACCCACGAACTACAGTCACGGAGTGTGGCTTAAGGTCCTATTACTACCCCAAATTTCAGAAAACAGGCCAAATCTTGATCGACTTTTTTCTACGGGGAGATTTGGCTGAAAGTTGGGTTCTAGGGGTAATTCGACCTCCTGAACACGAATATCACATCCACTTGGCCTGAAAGTGTCTGGCGCCGGCGCCAAAAACACTTGTCCTCAGGGGTAGTTTGACCTCCTGAACACGAATATCACATCGCTCTGCCGGAAACCAACTGGCGCCCGCGCCACTGGCGCCGGCGCCAAGGTACCCACCAAATCCGCTGAAAACTCGTATACGGAGGTTATTTGACATCTTGATTACAAATATCACATTCATTTTGGCGCTGGCGCTTATGGAAGACGGTGCGACTCTTTCTCCCAGGCTCAGCTTAGAAAAGCGCTAAATGGCGCTGGCGTCGAAAAATAAATGTCATATTCGTGATCAGGGCATCAAACAACCCCATTATGCAGGTTTTTATCGATTTTGATAAAAAAGGTGTGGGCTTTTTATCGATTTTGATAAAAAAGGTGTGGCGCCAAATGGCGCGCCAAATGGCGTCAGGGCTGAAAACTAATTCGGTATTCATGATGAGGACATCAAATCACCCTACTATGCAATTTTACACCGATTTGGTGAGAAAGGTGGCGGCGCCAAACTGGCGCTCGTTGGCACCAGCGCCCCGAAAACGAATGCTATATTCGTGACCAGGACACCGAATTACCCTAAGGGCAAAGTTTAACCAAAAAATTTTTTTTTGTTTCTTTGGGGTAGTAATAGTTGAATAGTGCCGATATTTCACTAGGAAATTTGCCGTGGGATCGCTTAGTTCTCTTATTTTTGAAAAATGGATCACTCCTTTCCCAAACTTGTTTAGCATTTCTCAGTGAGAGAATTCTATAAAGAATGTTTAGTGATGAAGAACTACGGGTTGAAGAAGTGGTGGAAAGCGCGAAAGCAAGCGTGCTCTCGTCAGCTGTGGTCAACCCAACCAACCAGCATGAGTGGAAGCCGTGGACCAGTAAGAGTGGTAAGATTTCCTGAGTTTTTCTTGGGCACTGGGACTACTTCATCAAGAAAGGAAGTCTAGGAAGTGCGATGTGTTCGATGTGTCGTGGAAAGATCTGGTTGAAAAGTGCCAGCCGCTGTCAACGATGTCTCGTCGTCTGCCATCATAAATGCGTGGAAAAGGCCGCCTCTGGAATTGCGTGTACGCCTCATGCGATCACTCAAGCAGACGCCGAATTCGCTGAAGTAAGCCGTCTCTGCTATTTGTTAGGGTTATACTTCAGAAACAGATCGCTCCTGCTGCAATAGAGAACTTTCTGGCTAGACCATTCTGTTCCGTTTGATATGTCGCATAACCATGGCATTCCTGCAGTTGGGAAAGCTTCATAAAAAGGGAACCGCGCTCCCCCGAATTTCCTCCTCTGACACCACCGTTCTACACCTCCATTCCTACCCTACCATCTTACTTGTTCACATTTCCTTACCGTTTTCTTCCACTCTTTCAAGAAAAAAAATTCTGGTTTTCTCCAAAAATAGTGTCGCTGGTCGGGAGAAAGTGGGGAGGGGGTACACTATCCAAAACAGTGTTTGTGAAAGATTTTGGCGGCGCTTCCAACGACAAATAAATATGGCCACCCCCCCCCCCTCACCCTCTCAAACAACGACGAACGAATACGTTTCCCCTTTTCCCGCTCCCTCACTGGGATCCCAGCACCCCCAACGACTCCGAACAAGGCGCACAGGGCAAGAAAAGAGGCGGCGCCTTCGCGCAGCCGCATAACATCCCCCTGATACCTTTGCCCCAATGCTGGCTTTCAGATCGAATAGCTCCTTTTTTTGGAGGGAGAGGGGGAGGGGACAGGTCCGCAGGCCTTCGAGTGCCTCCAGGGCTCTGAGCAAAGTTAGAGGCGGGGAGAGTTTGAAGAGCGATATGTCCCACCTTCAAATTCTGTGAACGGAGAAGATTTATTGGCGCATCTCCTTGAAGGGGGCACCAAATGGTAGTCAGTGAAGTTTGTACGTGTCACTTTGTGAGTCCACGTGAATTTTTGTAAAAAGTGGCTCACGTGTGTTAGTTCGCAACTTCAGAGTTTACAGGCGATAAATTGTTAGTTCACGTTTCTTAGTTGGCGAAAGTGTAAAATGCCCCTCTCAAGCCGAACAACGTTGATTCATTAGTTATCAGAAGACGTTGTTTATTGATGGAAAAGGGTGAAGATCTATTAAAGCCTCAAGTTGTTAGTTTTTAGCTTGATGTTGATGTGAATGAACAACAACGAGCTGAGTGTCCTACGAGTGTAATTCCTGCCACCCCGCAGACAACCCAGCCTCCTCTGTCAGCTAGAGGTAAATTGGAGTAGATAGGATATTCCATGAAGGCTATGTAACACCAAAATTTTGAAATATTTTGAAATATTCTCAGCTCCTGGAGAAGATGTTGAACTGACATCTCGTCGTACAAGGCTACGAAACAAAATGACGGAGAAATTCTCGTCGTGGAGACGTGGCGGCAAGATGACATCAAAGCTCGAGCTAGACGGGTCTGGTAATCGTGAGTCAGAACAATCAACAGGCACTGCTGTGGAAGGTGAAGCGTTGCTGAGTCCAATGGCTAGCATACAAGTAGGTCAACTAATTAATTTCAGTAGGCGTCGGTTAGGAGATCCGCGTTGCGGTGACGCGCGCTAAAACTAGCTAGTTGTTTCGACGATCGCTCTATCGATTTTGTGAAACGCAACGGTGTGTCTGGAACGAATACGGCGCATGTAACGCAGTTGCAACGTATTTACGTAACTCTGTCTCAACGCCGCTCTGGATGCAGCCGCACAAAGATATAGAGGCGCAGCTCATCGCCGCAGCGTGGATCTCCCAACCGACGTACAGATTTTAGAGTTGTAGCATCGAATAACGTGCGAATGTATCAGGACTGCTTAGCCGGATGTGTATGCCGAAATTTGAAATGGGGTTCCCCGTTCATAGGGGTCTAGACGAAGCTTATACTTTCAACAGAAAATGCCAGTACACATGAACAAACGACAGTCATGCAAAAGTTATAAGGGAGAGAGATTTTCTCTAATCTCAAAGGAGAAGAGCGAAAGGCCAAAATCAATGAGCAGGTACGTGCGTTCGTTTACAAGTATTTCTGCTGGTTATTAATTACGGTTACGGTCCATATCGCGGCGTTTGGAGAGGGGAATGGCGGCACGAAAGGTCGCGAGCGCGGAGACGGTTGTTGTTGTCGATTCAGGCGGCAGAGGCGTAGGCCGACAGTGCACGAGAGAGCGCAGGCAGCATCAGGAAATGTTAAAGGGACGCCAGTACCGCCTATTTGTCTGAACCGGCAACTGTTCCAAGAAAGGCAGCCGCGTCCCCTACTAACCATTACCCAGTCACGGGCTTAGTTTGGCTTAGTGGGGGCATTTTCTTTGTTAACATCAATCAGTGCCGATGTCTGCCAAAGAACTTGTAAATTCCTGTAAGCTATGCAATGGGAGGAGCTTCTTGTACAGCTGGAAGAGTCTACAGGTAGATGTGACGTGTACAGGGTACAGCAAGTCGTTTTGTGTTTGAAGACACATTGAGGGAAGGGTCGGTACATTCCCCGGTGGGTGAAGGGGGTCGTAATTGGTCACTCGGTATGAGAGGGGGTACGATGTTGCGATTGAGAGAGAAATTCGCTACGTGAAAAAATTTGAAAAAAAAAACTTTTCGTTGACTTTTCGCGTGATTTTGCCTGTTTCATGTGAATTACATACATACCTCCTCCTCCCTTCCCTCTCCCCGCTCGACAGCAAAATCTATGGGAAAAAAAGTAAAAAAGTTCTCGAAAATTCCGGAAAAAGTGGTAGAAGTTGGGGGTAATTTAAGAAATTTTCCCGTTTCACATTAACGATGGCATCCGCCCCCCCTACCGCTCGGAAGGAAAACTTTTGGGTGGAAAAAAACTGGAACTGGAGAAATGAGGGAAATGGTAAGGTAGATGGTGGGGAAGGGGGACCCTCACTGACAGGGGGGTGCGCCTCTCTAACGAGGGTGGGGTCGTAACCTACACTAGACAAATTTCACACATCACGATCGGCTTTACCTGGACGTGTAATTTAACAGCTACAAGCAAAAGAAATTTGCAAATGCCCCTCCAACCCGCATAGCGATTCCAAGTGCCTTGATAAGAACTGTGCACGACAATTTTTTTATTTTCAGATCGATCGAATTCAACTTGCGATACGTGAGACAAAAGACGGCAGATTGGAAGCGATGAAGAAAGATGGAGCAGAAGCGAAGTCGGGCGGTACATTTGAAGGACTGGACGAACGCCTTCAAGCCTTGGCAGTACTTATGTTGCATTATTGTGCAGCTCTACAGGTGCGAAATTTCGTAAGAGCTCATTTTTTATTGGTCAGCTGATATTTTTTTCCTTCTTTTCATCTAACCAAGAGACAGGGGGACTTAATTTTCACTGCTTAACAATGAAGTTTTTCTGAATCTCTGCTTCCAGGATTGTGAATCACAAGGACGGGAATCGCCCGTATATGATAGTGAAGTGCTACCAGAACCACCACCATCAGCTGACAATCGTGCGTTATCGGTATGTGAATGCTGAAGAAATTTGCTCCGTTTTCTTCTCTTGAGAGTTTGAAATCCCTTTCTCATTTCCCTGTAAAAGGCAGAATTGGTGTGTGTTATTACTTGAGTTCTGAGTTATGATGGACCTTTGGACACTACATTTTTGTAATGATAGCTATGCTTAACGCATTTTTCCAAGTGGTATAACCCTTACCTAACCCCTCCCTATCTTATCGTGTTATGTTTATGCATGCTAGGTTATTTCACCTTCTTCGTTTTACTAATGTGAAAAACCCGGTCCACGCTTATCTTGTGGGCGGAGCCAGGCCTCCTTTGCGCTTACCACAAGCTGACACAACAACGGACGAAGGAGGGACACTTTTTCGGAAAGGCCACAATTTGACCTCCAGCACAGGCTCATACATGATAAGTAAGTGGAGTGTTCGCCGTAAGAACTTAGATATTTGGTGGGGGGGGGCATCATGTAATTCTTGGCCATTACGATTGGGTGGGGCCTTCTAACTTGTCCTGCATCACATGCATGGACGGCGAATATTCCTGAAAAGTCATCAATCTCCCCCGCTCTTTGGCACCTAAGTTTACTCCTGCTTTATGGTGGATTTGCCTCTCCTGTGGTTGATATCGTCACAATCCGGCGAGGCGCTGTCAAGAGGCGTGGCGTGAGCCCACGGCTGCGTTTACCACCAGTAGTGGCCGCTTCGGATAGAAATTAGCCAGTGATAGAAAACGCCGCGGGCGGACCCATACCACGCCTCCAGACGCCGCCCGACTGATTGCGACGATATCAATTGTGTGGTTGTGTTACAGCGTATGGTTCTGAGATTCCGTAAAAGGATCAGTAATCATCGTGCGTCTATGCGAAAACAGGTCACGAGAAGTTTGCATACGTTCGATGCATCAGTAAGTTGATCGTGGGTACTTTATGCCACGAGAGGAGCCACCCTCCAATAAGACCTAAGCGCGCGCCTCCTGAACGGAAATCAAAGCGCGGATCGTGAACATGCTGTCCTAAAGTGAGTTGGGTGACGTTGACTCAGCCGCTGTTAGAACATGTTTACAAACTGTCGCGTGAGAAGGTGGCAGTTGAGGAGAACATGACGTAGGCTTAGCCTTATTGAGAAGTGGCCGCCTCCAGAAGCACATAACGCTTTGTGATTGCTTAAACTTCTTATGTTTCTCACTCCACTTGTTGTTTTGCTTTCATGCAGAAGTTCTTTTTTTTGTTCATGGAAGCTTGCTCGTACAGGTTTTCACAACAACGTGGCCTGTACAAGCTTCGTTGAGTACCATGTAGTGCACCCACCAAGCCAATCTGCACCCTTTTTATCCCTGATTTGTATTCATCGTTACATTTTTTCGAATATCCAACCTTCATCATTGACGAGAGCTGTATTCTCTTCTTCTGTTCCCTTTACATATGTCTTCGCATCTGTTTCTTTCAGTACCTTTCGGTAGTGGAATTCCAGGAATCCCACTTTCGGTAGTGGGATTCCTAGAATCTCACGGCCGAAAGATGGGAACTTGGAACCTTAAAGAAGGTGCGTACATTGGCTAGGAGGCGGAGTCTTTAATTGAAACGCCATTGGTGAATCAAGAGGTAGTGCCCAGCCCAGTATTTAGCGTGATATGCAGCAGAGAATTGAGTTTTGGCGCAAGTGGCGGCCAAGTGCCGTCCGAGGCACTCCCACTTGCCAATGGAGAAAATTTTTAGATCTACCCCCCTCCCGTCCCAACAACTGACGTAACCTGGTAGCGGACAGTCCTTCCCCATTCATTTCACGAATTTTGACTTTGATTTACCTTTCCCCAGTTTACTGGGTGATCGGGGAGGGAGAGAGAGGGCATAGAGAAAACACGGAATTCAGTTAGATACAACTTCCTCACTCAAAGCTAACCCCCCCCACCCCCCGAGGGGAGTCTTCCAACGTTGTGTATATCGCGCCATAAATCAGAAATCGATCTATTCAACCAAAAATCACCACCAGCCAAATACGAGCCTCCTTTGCTGGGAGATCTCCAATTTATGACCCCTTATGCCGCCCCACCATCATAAGTAATAACACTGAAATGGGCACTTCGCCTTCTTGACAACGGGCTCACTGCCGCTCTTCGTGGTTGAATAGGCTTCAGATCTCTTCCCCAGAGATTTGTTTATCGATCCACAGTTTGGCAATTTTCGAGTTTAGTCGACTTACTTTGATTTTCACTTTAGGGATCAACGCCCACAATGCCGGTTTCTCAGGTCGATCAAGCAAGTAGCAATGTGGTAGTTTTTGAGCCTGCCACACCTTCTCCGGACCACGAAGAGTCAGCAGAAGTTAGTGGTCCAGAAGAACTGAATCAGGCATTCATCATGATGAGCGAGGAACCGGATCCACGTGTGGAACCCTGAAAATTTGAGTCGCTTCTGATATTTTCGATTTTCAACAAGACGAGTTTTGCTTCAGTATTCCTAGAAACATTTGCTATTTACTATCTTACCTTCTACATCTATCTAGAAATGTTCGTTTCCTCCGCATTCATGTATCTCATGCGGGACGGATCTCTAACTGTGATATAATATAGTACTAGTTATGCAGACTCTAATCAGAATTGTAGCTTTAGGTTTTGTTGAAGTTGCCCTCCATTCTTTTGAACATTTCGGAATCATGTCCTAGCTGGGTTCTGCTTGTATCATTTCAAAATAGAGAAATCTGAGCTTTTCTGAAGGGTCAATTATTTCGGGAATTTAATTGCCCAAATAATTACTTGACAGTAGCACCATAGTATTTCGTGAGTCATAATTGACATAACTTATCTTCTGAAGGACGCAAGTGTATAGGTTTAGATTTGAAGGCACCGTCCGAGGTGTCGGATGGGTGGAGCTACGTCATTGGCGCGTCCCTGTTCCTGACCAGTGACGTCATCTCCTGACTCCGCCCTCCTGGCAAGCTTGGGCAGTGGCTCCAAGTGTTCTCTGAAGTATCAACGTGTTTGTTTTACAGAAGGGCTAAGGGATAAGTCTTGCACGGTCTTAGCCCCTTGTAGTTTAAGGCAGTGATCGCTCGCGGCGATTGGGCGGAGCTGTGGAGGGTTTCCGCAGTCCCGCCCACTTGCCCAGCAAAGTACCTTGTCTAGAAAAAGCCCTTGCGAAGTACGCCTGTCTTGGGAGAACAATCAATGTAAGTGTAATAGTGCATTATTTGCTTTACTCAACGATAGCTAGTTTAACCTATTCATAGGCACGCTTTTTGAGTGCTTGTACGTATAATTATACTTTGTCATTATAGATGTATAGATACTTGCACAGTGTCCTTGTTACCCTCCTTAATTGATTTTTAGTGCATATGATATGAATTGCTGGTACTGGTTATGTATATTGCCCAAGGAGTTATCCAAGCATTGTGTAATGTACTGGTTCGGTGACCTGTGTGATAAGCCCACGTATTCTATTCATCATTAATTTATCTTTGTGCAACACGCCAACAAAATTGTGATTTTTCGCTCTTTTCAACGAATATTCATGTGCTAATAAACGTACCTGTCATATAGTGAATGTAACACTCTGAGAAGAGACTCGTAGACTCTCTTATAATTTCTTAATACTTTTCATTTCAGTCGGAGCTGAAAAGAATCTGGAAGATAGGGCCATCGTTCAGACTTGCGATCACGCGCGTTCTACGCGCTTAACACGCGCCAAAGCGTCGAGCAGCTGGAGGTAACTTCTGTCAGAGAGGCTAGTGTGAACAAGTTGGTGTTGGCTGGTGCATAAGTGAATTGTTAGAGATGCGGAATACCTAACATCCGGAAATTCAATTTCCGATTCCATCTTGGTTCTCGTCTAGGAGTGACGTTTTTGCTAGCGTCATTCGCCCATTGAAGTTAATTTTATTGAGTCAATGAGGAGTTATTGTTCAGAAGACCCCTTACAAGTGGTAAAGAGCTGCCTTTTCATCGATTTTTTTTATTCTCCTGGCGAAGGCCTGGCTTGTTAACTTTCTACTTATCTCGGCGATTGCCAGTTTAGCGTTGAGCAAAATTGTACTTTTGGTTCTTTAGCACATCTCAAGTGTTGTAGAAGCGCGCCACGCAACAAAACGAATAAATTGTATCAAATAGCGCCACTTTGCCTCTTGAATATAATGCAGTCCATGTATCGGATTGGGCGCTGTCCGCTGTCCGTTCTTGAGAGAGTATGTGAAGGATGGGACAGGGCACGGTATGGTTAGGCGCTCACCCTCCTATTGTCTCTCTCTACTCTCTCTCTATCTCTCAAAACCGCGGTGCGTTCCATCAAAGCATTGGCGCGCTACGGCTATGACATGGCGCGTCGGCGGCGCGATCTCGCGATGTGCTGAACGCCCTGACTGAATTGAGGCGCAGCTGCACATGTCACCTTGTCCATTTGGTGACTGTTGTTGACTGAATACTTGGTCTCTGTAGAGATGGAGTAGAATATGACTTACTGGCGAGGTAGTATGAAGGTTGCGCTAATGTAATGATGTGGAATTTACAAGGGCCATTTGTGTAGGCTGAGAAAAGCTTTTTACGAGTACCCGCCTTTTTTTGAGGCGGCGGAGACATTGCAGCCAGTCTTTGCAGCTTAGGACCGATTTTTTGCTCCCGGGAAGTGGGTTTGACGACAATTGTTTATGCAGGGAGGGTAGTTGAGTTCCCAGGAGCAGCAACATCTGTTTGGTTCAGAAAGTCCGGCCTTGCATTTTCGCCAGAACAGAAAAGCCTGCGGTGGAATCTGCATTCTCATTAAGACTCGCTTGACACGAACTATCACACTAACCTATTAGGCGAATTCCTCGTACTCGCGCTAACGCCGAAGCTGCACTGCTCGGAGGTTGTGGCGCAGACGCTGCTCATTTTCGCCTGAGACGGATGTTATCTTTATGTTCAGATGGCAAAGTTATTAGCCAGCTTCACTCTCGCTAAAAAATCTGGATTCAAACACGGGCCTGGATTTTGCAGAGTCGAGTCTTACTTGTTGGTCCCTACATCTTTCTGCGGGGCAGCGGATGTTGCAAATAACGGCGGCTTCCACAGGAGTAAGCTAAGGTGCCGCTAATACCAAGACTGGTTGAAGAATTGGGCTCTCTTCACGTTCTCAGGGTCCCCTGAACTTCTAGCTTCCCAGCTTCTGAACTTTTTTCATTCAAAAATCCGACTTCGATGCTTCATGGAACTCTTCAAAAGTCCGTTTGACGTGATGTGCAGATCAAAAAGAGCTATTAAAACAAATATTTATTGAAATTACTTTTAAATAATGGGGCGTAGAAATTGTGTATTGTGTGGTTGTTATCATCTTATTCAAGACACTAATGAGCGAATGCGTCTTTTTAGGGTTTTGGAACCGGCTTATAGAAGTAGGGGTCCATTCCTTTTGGAACTGGAGGAGTTTTTGGATCTATTTGATGCTTCCGTTGTTGTTGCTGCTGCTGAGGAGTAGACCCTTTGGAGACACCGGCATCTGCTGGTTGATTGTCTTGTTGCCCTTGTTGATCTTTAGCTTTTGGCAAAGCGAAGAAGGCTTTCTCATTGTATACGTAGCCTGCATCCTTAGGCGTCTTCGGCTGATGTTTTCTCTTTCGGCGCGAACTTGGAGTTTTAGCTGGCTGACCAGATTGACGAGGTTGTTGCGGTGTTTGCTGCATTGGTTGCTGTTGCATAGGCATTCCTGGCTGCTGCTGGGTTGGTCGAGTTGGTGGGTTCTCCACTGGCTTATCCCAGTTACTAGCGAATGCGTCGACGGTCTCATTGTCGTTTGCTGGACGATAGCCTGAAATAGATAGCATCTGTTAACTAAAAAATAATAATTGTGACGTTCGTATCACGAAGGGGACTACTCTGACTCAGGATCTACCGAGTGAGGCCGACGCACTTCGTGCTCAAACCCTCGGATCGCTCCATACTTCGACGTTGAATGAGCCATATCAGGACATGTCCTGTTGTCTCAGAGGGTACAGATGAGCATGAAGTGGTTGGCTTGCTGGAGGGACATTTTCGAGAGGCTTATACACCAAATCCCGACGTCCCTCCACTGAATCAAGGCTCAGCGAGTAAGCCTCGGTTCAGACGTATTCAGACGATGGAGTTGGTATCACTTATGCTGCGTTCAAGCTTTGCGGCAGCGTCCACTGGCATTTCGAGCATCTGGCAGCGTCACCGGGAAAGCATCAATATCGACCCAGCGTCTGCCAGCGTTCACCTGCGTCTCGAAGGCCAGGGAAGTAATGGTAGCGATCTAACGTCTATCAGCGTCCTGGAGAGGAGAGTGTGGCGTGATAGGAGCATAGAAGACTGCTGGTAGAGAGTATGGCGCGACAGGAAGGTAGCCAACTGCTGGTAGAGAGTATGGT